TCCTATAATGCACTACTCTCCCTGCAGAAGCATTTCACCTTGTGTTACCTCATGTTGATTCCTCTTGCTGATGTGCTGTTTATATAGCTACTGATGTCACTGTAGAAACAGATCCTCATAAATCCTTTTAATTCCTGCAGATCCTTTTAAATGTTTCTACGTAGGCAGAGCAAACAATACTGTCCTAATCTCCAGGTGACATATCAAGTCATCTGTTTTCCTGAGGCTCCAGGAAAACATCCAGGCTCTTTCATCCAACTATGTTTTTCCAGTCCAGCATTCAAGGTGCTATCATGATGACATTACAGCAGTCTGCTCAGTAGCAACAATATCCTCAGTATTAAGTTCTGTGGCTTTAATATAGTAATAGCCCTTCCTGATGTGTTGAACAGACTGAGGGTGAAAGGGGACAGGGACAATACTGCTTCCTCCAGCAAGAAAAGTATGCAAGAGTTCAGAGAACAAAAAGGAACAGGGCAATAAAAGCATCCACATAACCAGCTACTATTTTGATGCAGATACTTCTGCTATGTACTTTCTCTGGAATCTTAACCCTTTAACTTCACAAGAGCAGTTTATTGGGATATTGAAAAGAAAATCTCCATGTTCAAGGACAAGCTGAAGATACACAAGAAAAGTATGTCCATACATCAGGTCCTTGTAAGACTTTAGGCAAGTTGTTGCCCTCCAGAACAGGGAGGGGAAAAGAGGTTCTCTGGAACAGTGTCGTCACCACCATTTTTAGTCTTTCATTACGTTGGCCAGAAATTGAAAATTACTGACAGCGCTATTTGTTTTCCATCACATAGCTCCTTCTTCCAGCTAGGTAAGTCATTCTCTTAACCAAGTATCAAAAGCAGGGCCTACATGAAAGCCGCTACATTACTCAACGGTGTTTGGAGTAGCATGGCACTCGGAAAAAGCCTGGACAGCTGTTCCAAAAGCACCTTAGCCACTGAAGTCCAGTACAATACACTGACAGCCATTTGACTGACAGCACTTCAGTACGTTCTTCTACACAGAAAATCATACATGGAGACCAATTGTCTAACCCAAACAACAGATGTAGTTATAAAGTCTGTTTTGCACAGCAGATTATAAAAGTATTCAAATTCGCTTATAGTCTGACAATCAAAAAAGTAGAACTGCAAAAAACATTCTACAAAACAAGACCACCAATTTTAGACTACACCCAATTAGGAGCCATGTGTTAACCATATTGCACGTGCATACAAACTACACAAAATCAACCCTTTCAAACCGTGCTCTATTTTGGCAAAAGCCAGTAGGAAAGAAGGGAATCAGTCTGCACTAGAAACGGAAGGAAATTCATGATTAAATAACCTAACAATTTAAGAGGGGGGGGGGAATCTCAGTCTCGATGCAACTATTTTACACTATCATTACCTTATGCTAAGGAAGCCTATAGGCAAATCTGAACACACATTGTACAATTTTAAAAAAAATGTTACCATGACAGTTATTTTAACAAGAGCAAGGTAAGAACTGCAAGAAAAAAAAATACAAACCCACAGATTAGATTGGGAAGGAAATGGGAGGGAGGTTGTGGAAACTGAGAGGACAGATGGGGAAGTGGGCCAACAAGCTTTTAGGATAGGCCCGTGTGATTTCCAACAAAGTAGAGAAGATTAACTGCATAGCGTTGTCTGAGCTCTACCCAATAAATTTTAATACATGGTTTAAAGCCATGCATACATTCATTATATCTACGCAAATTAAAAAGAACAGTATTTATATAGTAACAATATAGTGTAACCTTTCATTTGAAAAAATTCCAATGATCTTGATTATTTATTTACAGTTTATTTGCTATTACTCAAATATAGCTGCTGAGCTCAGCACAGGAAAAAGTAGTATTAAGTGCTGGATTAAGTACTATACAGCAATGGGGTAAACACAGAATGCGATTTTAACCAAGGACTTCATAGTAAGAAAATGCAGACCTTTAACATTCATCCACGTAAGAGTATTTAAGAGAAAGAATGAAATTAATGGAAAGGATTTCCTGTCCTTAAAGCCTAAAAAGATGTAAACTGAAGACAGCTATCCGTTCTGCACACACCTTTCATTTTCATCTTTCTAATCCTTGCTGTGCAAGTCTCATTAAACTCTCTCAATCCCTCTTAAATTTTACGTAATTTGTACCCTTAGCTACAAATACATCTCCCTATACGTAACCTAGCCATAAGACAGAAGCTAAGATTTGTGTCTGTAATAGATGCTAAAATTGCTTTTGAATATATTATGCACTGGAATGTGTATTCAAGATCTCAATCCTGTTAAGAAATTATGTTTTAAATAAGATCTAAAAATCAGTATAGCCAATTAAGGTTTCAGCTAGGCTCATGTCCCTCCAACAATGAGCTAGTCTATAATGCGTGTGCTCGTTGCTCTCTGCAGTTTTCAAGACAGGAGACAGATACAATTTTTAAAAAGCACAAAAAGCAAACTGAACAGAAAAGTTTCAATGCTAGGGTACATCTCTTATGCTAATTACTACTAATAAAATGTAAAATTTAATAAGCAGAATTTTAAATTACAAAACAGGCATAAAATGTCTCAATTATCACGAGTTCTATGGCTTTCCTTTTTCTTTGGCTAGATAACCTCCTCCAGATCAGATACAGACACTACCACCCACCGCCTTTTCTTCAAACAGTGCAGAAAGATGGACAAAGAGAAAATGAAGCAAGCTGCCTACGGCCAGCACTAGTCTTAGTCGAGACTGGACAGGCCAGCTTTCAAATCCTTTACCAGATCATGCAACCTCTTCCAAAAAACACTTGTACAAGGAGGAATTGCTCCCTTATCTGCAACCACCATCACCAAAATACATTTGATGGAGTACTCAGCTTGTTAGAGAAGACTGTTGTCCCACACTATCAACCATGCGTGCTCCCTGAAGTCCCATAAGGCCTGAGTGGTGCTTGGCCAGCATTTACAGAGTATTTGCTGCGTGCGGGTTCTCTGACACATCTTCACGCCTGTGCTGTGACTGAGGCTTTACCTTGCATTTCAGTCCATAAACAGAATCTCCCCCAGCGTGTAATTGCTGGCATGTGAGAAGGTACAAGCCATAACTGAAGCTCTTGCCAGTCTGTACATAAAGAAGGTTTCTCTTCTGAACGGATAGTCTCATGACAAATACAGCATAAAAAATCTAAGCTCTCCCCACACCACCAGCGTTTACAGGCTCTCTCCCCCTCTTTGTCAATTATCTGGCAAAGGTGCAAACTCTGTACAACTGCAGTACTGATCCCTGCTGTTCTGCAAATAACCCTCTACCCAAGTACTGCTACATCAGAGGTACTCAAGCACTGCACCTACTGGATAGAGTGCTAATACTTCCTCTATCCTACTACAGGATACAATTGAGATCGCAACCTGATTTTCCATCTTAATTTTAAGCAAAGTCTTTTTGCAATAAAGCCAGTGTATCGCATTGTACTACTGGGCCCACACAACAGCTGTTCTTAACAGATTCTAAATTATTTCTCATCCTCTGACACTGAAAATAAGATTGCCACCAAAGCTGACGCTTTTGCAGGCTCCCTATGACTACTGCTCAAGCAACAAATATTACTCAGCTACAAGCCCTGACCAAGAGAAAAACATACCTTTTGAATGGTTTCAAGTGATATTTCAAGCATTTCAATAGATAAGCTGTTTTGACAAACGTTGGTAGATCTAAGTGAAAACAGACTCTACAACTTTCACACAGAATAACAAGTATGGAATGCAACACCTCCAAAACCAGCAGAATTTCAGCCCATCTGTATCTGCAGCTGATAATGCCCACACATACAATTAGCATTTTAGAGCGTTTACAGCAACTACAACTGCAGAGAGCATTTAAAACATTTACATCTGTACCCATACAATGAGATTTTAGCAGCTGAGATATACAGCATCTTGTGGAAAAATCAGACAAGATTTTACCTAGTTAGTTTCCATGTTTTTTTGTTTGAATCCATCTCTATTGTGCTCCAGCAGTGTTACTACAGCATATTGATCATTTTACAGAAAAGTAATATAAAACTACCGGAGCCTTTAAGCCAGTGCTTTGAACAGTAAAGTCAAACATAACTCTTCCTTGTGGTGGAACAAACAACTGCAATCAACACCTTTAAAATGCTGTGTAGATGAACACAAAGTTTTTACTAAGAAATGAGGAATACAGCTAGCTGATTAATCTGATTTTCAAGTACAATTTCATTTTGAGGAAAAAAGTTAGCTGGCAGCAGCCACAGGTTAGATCTTGAAACTTTACATGAGACCCTAAAAATCTTATGTGAACTTGGCAGTAATTAAGAGGCACATCCAAGACATCCAGAGTGCACTGCAAGCTTCTGCTTCTGTCCCCAAAACATCCCAGACACTTGCTGAAAACTGACACTGTCTGCTTTGACCAATAGCTAAGCTGCTGTGCATAGGCAGTAGCTAGCTGTTAACGAGGGGGGTGAAATCAATGGCATAATAGGTATGAGATCTTAAGTCACAGGATTTATATTTCACAAACAGAAGACAGGAGAGGAGCTCCACAAAGAAATCAGACTCACAGAAAAACCTGTCGGGAAGAGTGGAAGATATCTCTATATGCTACCTAGTCAAATCTCTAGCTCAGATCAGGTCTTGTTTCAAAGTTGGAGCAAAGTGCTCAGTGCTTTATCCAATTTAGTTTCAAAATTCCCAGGGACAGAGATTCCATATGATACGCAGATACTTAATGCAGTAGAAAGAAAAAAGGGTGGCTCTTTTTCAGAGGAGCTAAGTTCATTCCAACAAATCAGATATTACAAGATGCAGTCAAAAGCTTTTGCATGCATATCCATATTTGTCTCCAATGGAAATGCAGGAACCTGCCCCTAGGACAATCATAATTTAAATTAACAGATACCACACTGTGCTGTCTGCTGCAGCCAACTAACTGGTAGCTCTGGTGCACAATTACTTTCGAAGGAAACATAAGAATTTCTTACCTCCAGGCCTGTATACAACATCATCCTCTGTGATAAAGGATGTTATTTCACCGTTGTCTGTTCTCTCGTATCGGGACTTCTTCTTGGGTGGTTTCTTTTTGCTCTTCTTTGTGGACTCCTCTGTGGTGGCACTGTTGTTGTCATTGTCCTCATCTTCACTATGGTCACTTTCCGCATAATTCTTGGCACCTCCTTCCAATGTACAGCTCCGTCGAGGACGCGAGTTCTCACTCTCCCTCACCTTGTCTCTCTTGTCTCGCTCCTTATCCCGGTCTCTATCCCTGTCCTTCTCTTTGTCTTTGTCTTTTTCTTTGTCCGCTGTCATGATTCGCCACGTGCCTTCTTCTGTCCTCTCACGGCTGGGCCTCCGTGAAAGGTAGACAGTGAGCCTGGGCTTCAGTCTTCTGAATTTCTCACTCAAATCCAGGAAAAATTCAACCACTCCAACAACCCCAGCGTTTTAAAAAGGTTCTTGAAGGGGTGGGGGGGGAGAAAGAGGGGAAAAGCCCATGTTAATATTCAAAATTCTTTCAACTTCTGAAAACAAATTAAAAACAAAGAAAACCCCACATCCTAAAGCAATTCAGTATGGAAAACACGAGACAGTAAAATACAAGGAGGTCTTTTGAAGCATTCGTAGAAATGATAACTTATGAAGCGTCTAAAATGTTTGAAGCTATCTCCATCCTCAAAAAGGTCTCACAACTCCTTAAAAAATTATTTTGTTCACCACAGAAATATAACAACTTCCTGGATGGGAAGTGCTCGCTGAGAACACACATCATTTTACACCTGACACCGAATAGGAAGCATGCAAGTGAAAACAAACATTTGGGAAGGGAGAAGTGCAGGAATGGAAGAGTCTACAACTTTTTTTTTCCATAAAGCAAACGAAAAAGTTTAGCAAATGGCTGTGTTGTTTCACATCTCAACACCACTAGCAACGGATGCCCTACAAAGCTGGTACAGAGTAAAGAATGCCATCTGCCACCTCCAGGGCAATCTGTTAGGAAATCTTCCCCCTACCCTGCTTTTCCAAAAATAGAGCTAACCTGTAATCCACTGATTAGAGGAATGAATTAATTGAAACCAAACCACCGTAGTGACAAGTGCACTAACAAAATCTGGTTTTCCGTGTATCAAAAATACGACCTTTCATGCTTGCTTTACCAATAACAGAACACACAGAGATAGCTTTTATAACTCATCACCTTCACACATTTCGTTTCCTGCTGGGGAATAGGAAGGGAAGAGATAATCCTACGTTTTTACTTCCTTCATCATTTAATCAATACAGTTAACATCAACTGCATCTTTTTTTTTCCTTCAATGCAAGTTTAGATTTTAAAAATTGGACTTACTGTTACAAGAGCATTTGCAAGCTCGGATCTACGGGCCAGGACCCTCAAACCACAACCAAGTGCACAGACACAGTTACCTAGTGTCGTGGTTTAACCCCTGTGGGCAGCTAAGCACCACACACCCACTCACTAACTCCCCTCCAGTACCCTGCAACTGGGGTCTGGATTAATTCCCCATGAAACACTATTACCATACCTCAGTCAAATGAAAGGTAAAGAATACTGACCCTATGCAGTTATATCCTTTATTTTTTTGACTCAAAATCGAGAGTTTCCTTAAAATGTCCTTTTATTGGTCAAATCGAACTGATCTGGACTGACAGGTTGCATGATACATCTTTGAGTGACAGCCAGCAGCACATACATTAGAATTTTTGGTACCTTTTCTGGAAAGGCTCTAGTGAACTTGCACCAAGTGAAGTATTTGCAAGTGCCTTTTAATACTGCTCAACAGCAGCAGTCTGAACAGTTACAGCTACTACCGAACAAGAATCATAACATACCATTTTTTCTGTAAACACTCATGAAAGAAGGATATTTCAAGAAGGATGTAGCCAACATACAAAGGTGAGTTACCTTTTTTCCCTAGTTCACCAATTCAGGATAAAGCTGAATTTACCCACATCCAATTCGTAAGTTTTCAGGAAGCTACTATTTGGTGAAACTTGGAATTAGTCCACTATGTAGAATGCTATAGCATGAAAATCAAGGACCTAAGAAGATTGAATGTTCACGCATTAAGCATTTGAAACCACATTACAGAAGGAAAAAGACTATTTTGATTTTTAAGAAGTCAGCTGAGAAGTCAGTGATCCTGTGTATTTGAAATTTCTTCACTCTTACATGAATCTTAGACTACCAATATTCTTGTCCCTGTTGACTACTACTTCCAGCAATGGAAATAGCCAAAGAGAGACAAATTGCTTTTGCTGATGCAATTCAAGCTGTGGCTTGAATCTCTCGGGCATTTCCTGAATGAACCGATCATCAGGTAGGAAATGATTCTATTTTCTTTCCTCCTTATAGCAGCTGCCATCATTCCGGTAACACACAAGGGGAATCCAACGAAACTCCAGTAGAGAAGACTACAATGAACCTGTCAATTGCCAGAGAAGTTGCAGATAATAGCGATAGCAATGGTCTACAGGGACTCAGTAGGAAGCATCTTAAATTTCTAGAGGCTAGGAAATTCCCCAGTAGCAAGCTTGAAGGTTTTTTCTATTGTTGTTGATACAAAATTCACTTTAGGGAGTAAATAATCTATTCATTTTGAATGAAAACTAACTACTTTCCCAGGGCAATCTAGAAATTACAAGTAGTGGCATCTCAACCTGTGTACAAGAGATCTTTATGTGTTCTTTAGAGATCAGAAACTATAGGATACACCTAAAAATTTTATTCAGTGACCTCCAAGCATGGATAAAATCCAGCCACTTCTGATTATTCTTATATACTAGCCCCAGTTCTCAAAGACTCAATTTTTGAGTTAGGTACAAAAACACAAGAAACTGAAGCCTAAACAATTAAGTTGTTCTTTTCAGAGCTTTTTCTATTGCTTCTTGTCTTACTTGTAGTATATCACTACCCTCTCCTGTTTCTTAAAACTTGAATGTTGTTTACAAGTTATTTTTGGAGAACTTAAAGGAAAAAAGCCAAGGAGCAAGTCCTTTTGTCTTGTTTTCAGTGAAGTCAAGAATGTTTCAGCAGCATCTAAGAAGCACTTGCACAGTCCAATATCATTAAGAGACAGCACAATATGGAACTCTGCTCACGTGCAGACATACATCTCACATTTACCAGTTCGGTTTACCACCAGCATAGGTACCACTGGTTCTTAAGGTTATGTAAGGTCTGAGTTGCACAAAATCATGATGGAAAAACACTCTATGTTCATTTCATTTCACTTCCCAACTGTGCTAACAAAACTTAGCATATGCACAGGTAGGGACTAAATGCAATGCAGCTATAACTGAATGAATTTTTATGTTCCACCGTCACTTCTTTGACAGTAGCCTTCTTATAGCTTACGAAGACACTACTTTCAGGAAACAACTCTTAGAACAGTCCTATCTGTATGCAACCTATGTATTTTCTTCAGCTCTCTCTCCCGAGTGTAAAGCACTAATTTTTATGATAGAATTACCGTAACTTTTATCAAGAAACTTAAGTCAAGTGTCCATAAAGAAGCTGCATCAGCTTTTCTTTCCTCCCTCAAGGGTGGAAGTGTATCTTCCAAGTGGAAGATCTCAGTATCACCGTCTTTTCAACACTATAAAAGATCACACCCCTCTCCTGGCACAGCCAACTGCAGCACAAGCACCCTCCTTTGACTGCAAAGTGCAGAACGTCCTTTTTTTCTTTTTTTAATAATTTCCAAGTGAAAAGGGGAAAAAAAAAAAAATCCATCGGTCACCACAATAGTTCACTACTGGGGACGGATGGCAAACAACAGAAAAAGCAGGCTTGAAACCTGGCCAGCTACAAGCCTTTTTCCTTGAAGCCTCAAGATGAAAGCTAAGAAGGGGCCAACCACCCCACAAGTCTAAACATAAAGGAAAAAGTAATTTAAAGGAACAGTAAACTAAAGTTGATTAGTAACTGACAGATAATTAATCCATATTAATTTTATACGTATCCTGAAACATTCTGAGCTCCTCCTCGTATTCTCTAAGTCTCAAGGAACCAGAGTTGTGCAGATAATTCTGAAAAAGCAGCCACAATGTCAGTGCAAGCTGCTCCTTGCCAAACTTAACTTTGACAGTAAATTTCGAGTGAACCGTTTTACACTAGTGGAGTCTGCTCAAGGGTCAACACCACATCAAGTACACAGTGACCTCCACATGGCTGGCGGGTAAATCACTTTACAAAAGTAACATACCAAATGCACTTCCCCTTACTCGATTTTTCTATCTTCATCAACACTTTTTATGGACATAGGCAAAACCAACTTGCCAGCACAGAGAAAATACCTCTACACAACCTGCCATGGAGCGCAAAAAGAGAAGCCTCTGAATGTCAAGGGTCACACACTGCAGAGGAAGCACCGATGAATTCCAGTTCTCACCATTAACAAACAAGAACAAACACTGCAGGGCTTAACAGAACTCTCCACATAACTGCAGATTTAGGTCCTCATTGTTCCTCTCAGATTAAATTCAAACACAGTACTTCAGTGTTTTTATTACAAGTCCAATTATTATGGTTTTTTTTTTCTTTTTTTTTTATTTGCACAACAGTTCTACATAGAGGAGTACCATTGCATAAATAAACACTATGTTCATAACGATTTAGTTTACTGTAGGGCTGTGCAAGAATTTGCATATACCACAATTTGCTCATTTAGTCTGTTCATCTATGAAATTTCCAGCTACAAATACAGCAAAATTGCCACCCTCCTCCTAGCTCCTGTTTCAGGAGAACCCATACAAAAGTAATTTTCATAGCCAAGGTATTTATGAACAGTACAGGAAGCCTCCTCAGCTAATCAGAGTCTCTATCTAGTTCAACTAGCATTAAAAAAGCAAGTGATGAAATCTCATCGCAAGCACTATTCAACTTTCTTACATAAATATATCACATTCCCAAGACTATTTTACTAAAAAAAAAAAAATCCAATTTCAAAAATACTGCAGGATTAAACCAACATCATCATGAAACAATGACTACTTTTGTCTCTCTAAGAATAAAGCAGTCACATAACCTTAAGAGTAGTTGCACCACTAGTCGGCGGGGGGGAGGGGGAGAACCACAGAGGTAAAATACTGTTATACACCCTCAACTGTGTAGCAGTTACACAGGACTACCAGAAGAGCAAAGAAAAATTGTTTTATCAGCAACCACCTAATTAAGCTTAAGCCATTATTACCACAGAGAAGTATTTGATAAATAAAATCTTTATTATTTAAGCAATGACCCAAACATGTTTTAAGGATTCCAAGACATATTTTGCCTCTACGGTGAAATACAACATTTCCCCTTGCTACCTCCCCCACTTTTTATTTACTAACACCAGAAACCAAAAGCAAGTAGCGATTTATAAATAGAAGCATACACCCAATGTTTGGAAGGATCTCTTCAACCATAAGAGCAGAAAGTATCTTACAACT